TAGAGAAAACTGGCTTTGTATTAGGCCAACTGTTTCAGTTAACATGTAATAAACAAATGATTATTGAAAGCATCTCATTTGGTTCAACAAACAAGAGGAAGCTTGAGCTCAACGAAACCTTTTTGAGTGGCCACGGTAAAATCAAAATTGTAACCGATAAGATTCAACAACAAACTCAAGCTTTTTTTTTTTGTTTTTTACGCCAATTACGGCCCTGATATGTGGGTAAATAAAAGCACTAACCTCAGATATTAACAGAGTAATATAATTCGGAAAAAATTTTACCCGGTTGAAATAAAAATGACAGTAGTGCACGGCAGTTCTGGCGGAGGATTTATTGTCGGGAAACTGGTCTTCCCGGTCAACTACGAAGAGGAAGTTTCTCAGAGACTCGTCGATGCTTTGCATGGTAATGATGTGAAGTTGGCGTCTGAGTGTTTAGCTGATCCTTTCGTGGACGTGAACTTTATTGGAACAGCGAGCTTGAAGGCCAAGAAGACCGAGATTTTGTTACATGAAGAGACTGCGCACGAAGTTCTTGTCGATTACCAAGAGTTTAAGACTGAAGTTACTCCACTGTTTCTTGCTGCTCATGTCGGAAACATGTTTCTTGTTAAGAAGTTGCTGGTAAAACAGTTAGTAGATTCATATCTATCGACTATGGCAAAGCTATATTTTTATTTTATTTGGGCTGTTAAAATGAATTTTTGATTTATTTATTTGGCAGGGCCTAGGAGCCAACGTGAACCACAAACTGTTTCGAGGCTATGCAACCACAGCAGCGGTAAGGGAGGGACATATCGAGATTTTGGAGGTTCTCCTCAATGCTGGTGCGTGTCAAGAGGCATGCGAGGAGGCTTTGCTGGAGGCGAGCTACCTGGGTTATGCCAGACCTGCCACACTACTAATGGCGACTGACATGATCCGCCCGCACGTTGCCTTACGAGCTCTTGTCTCTGCTTGCTGCAGGGGGTTTGTTGATGTTGTTGACACGCTTATCAAGGTAATTCTGTTTTTTCTTTCTTCTTGGTTTTCAGAATTAAAGCAAGAAGTAGTAATCATTTTGTTTTCACTAGCTTCATTATTGAAAAATTGATAACCAAATTTATCATCGTTTTCCAAAACTGCTTAATTTCTTGATGCTGTTTCACTGTTTTTTATTTGTGAAACACTGTCCTGTGATGACTGACGACAGTTCTGTCAAGTTCGATTTCCCCTTAATCAACTCTGTAATTTGATCATCTATCTTAATTCTTAAATTAAGGTTGTCTTCTTGACGTTTGTGCTCTTATCGGTGACAGTGTGGAGTAGATGCCAATGTAACTGATAGGGTGCTTCTTCGATCTTCCAAGCCTTCTCTACACGCCAATATTGACTGTAATGCACTAGCTGCTGCTGTTGTTAGCAGACAGGCTTCTGTTGTTAGAGTACTTTTGCAGGTAGGCATCTTTCACACAGTGAATGAAGATCATAATCCATAATTATATAATGATTTTGGGGAAATTAGTGCAACAATAATGTTTAGTAAAGAGGAAAATATGCCCAAGGAGTTGAACCAGCGGTCATACCATGACAGACAAAAGTTAATTTTTTTCAATGCTTCATGTAATATCAGTGGGCATCAGTGTCATTAATTATTACAGCTCTCCTGCATTGGAGTATTTGTGTGTGTAGTATATAACATTTGTTGAATTAACACCCTGTTTACAAAGGAATTAAACTCGTGATATAGGTATACGGTTCAGAATCAATTGTTGTTTGTTTAGTTGTCGTTAGAACATTCTTACATGGTATTTACTAATTAGCTTTTTGAAACTGGTGATCAGGCTGGCATCAAAATGGACCTAAAGGTGAGACTGGGAGCCTGGTCCTGGGATATTGATACAGGTGAAGAAATTAGGGTCGGTGCGGGACTAGCTGATGGGTATTCCATCACCTGGTGCGCTGTGGAGTACTTTGAGGCCAGTGGTGCCATCTTGCGCATGCTCCTTCGACACCTTTCCCCGGACACCCTTCACTATGGCAGGACCCTCATCCACCATGCCATCTTATGTAACAATGCATTGGCAGTTGAAGTGCTTCGAAATTGCGGCGCTGATATAGAATTCCCGGTTAAAACAACTTCAAAAACTGAGTTACGCCCCATTCACTTGGCTGCCAAACTAGGATTTACTAAAGTTCTTCAATGCCTGATTGTAGCTGGCTGTGATATCAATTCCCGAACAGCTTTTGGAGATTCTGCACTTATGATTTGTGCTAGATACAAACGTGAGGGCTGCCTTAAAGTACTGGTCTCAGCTGGAGCTGACTTTGGATTGGTAAACTCTGCTGGCCAAAGTGCATCCTCCATCGCAGGGTTAACCAGGTGGAATCATGGCTTTCTACAAGCGGTTGTGGATGTGATTCAAGCAGGGAAGAAACCTAAATCAAGCAATCCGTCCGCATTTTCTCCGTTGATGTTCATTATTCAAGCAAATGAAATTGAGGCCTTGAAAAAACTCCTTGAGCAGGCAGATACTGACCTTAATGAACAAGATGATGATGGATATTCAGCTTTGATGATGGCTGCATCAGGTGGCCATGTGGAAGCTTTCAGATTACTTCTTCGTGCTGGCGCTAATGTAAAGTTGTCTAACAAATACGGTGAGACTGCGATTAGCATATTAGAGTTAAACGAGAACGGTGATGTATTTGATGAGTTAATGCTGGAATATGCACTTGAAGAGGCGAATGGTCCCTTCGGGTTTTATTCTCTACATCGGGCAGCAAACCGCGGAGACTTGAATTTGGTTCACATATTAACTAGTAGAGGCTGCGATGTTAATGCCCTTGATGCTGATGGATACACGCCATTAATGCTAGCAGCTCGAGGAGGCTATGGTGGAGTCTGTGAACTTCTAATTTCTTGTGGGGCAAAATGTGACATCGAGAACGCAAGACATGAAACAGCTCGTTTGCTTGCGAGGAAAAAAGGGTACGGAAACGATGCAGAGAATGTAATTCTTAATGAGCTTGCTCGAGCTCTGGTGATAGATGAATGCCGAGTGAAGAAGCACACTAGGTGCGGCAAAGGATCACCCCACAGTAAAGTACTGAGGATGATGGAGTCTAGTGGTGTTCTGAGGTGGGGTAAATCGAGTAGGAGAAACGTGATATGCAAAGGAGCTGAAGTTGGTCCTAGTGAAAAATTTCGTTGGAACCGGAGGAGGAAGTTTGATGTTAAAGAACCAGGAATGTTCCATGTGCTGACTACAAAGAACAAGGAGGTGCATTTCGTGTGTGATGGCGGGGTTGAAATGGCTGAATTGTGGGTCAGAGGGATTAGACTTGTGACAAGGGAAGCCATTTTTGGCAAACGACAATAGTGTATTTCTTATGCATCGCTGACCAGACAAAATTTTTTTTATTCATGTTTCATTATCTAAAACCTATCTTGTCTAAACTTTTAATTTTCACCAATTATCAATTTATAATCACATTAAAAAATAGTATTATAATTAAATATATCATTTTAGTATTTTATATTTATTTTTTCAACAAAAAAACTAATAATAGCTTCGATATTATAATTAAATATTATTAATGTTGAGCTTCTATGGCTCTTCCGTTTTGAAGGTATTTTAAAAATTAATTATATTAATAATATTTATTTTAGTTTTAAAAAAATCAAGATAAAAGTGAGATGCATATAAATATAAAAGCTTTTAATTATTTTCTTTAAAGCAAATTTGGATCATATAAAAAAAAACTATGTTTTCATACCTGAGATTAGGTTAAATTTGAACAAAAAATTTTGCCCCTTTCGTTAGGATACCAAGACATTTTACTGTTTATACCATGTTCTTATATTCATTTCAAGTTGAAAATGCAAGCCGTAAAATTTTAAAAATAGAGAGCCATTTTGGTTGATTTTTGTCTATTAATTTTTATGATTTAGAGGTGTTTGTCAAAATGTCTCTCCAAGGTTTTTTATATCGTAGGATTCAATTCTTATAAGTTTTGTATCATGCATATATTTGATAATTGACAAAAATAGACAATGTTAAATCTTTTTCTAAGCTTAACACACATTTGTTTGAAATTTTATAATCTACAAATAAAAATGTAAGTCTCCATTATTTTAAAACTTAATCTAGATTAATATATTGTGGTTTTATATTGAATACATCTTCTCCTTTTCAAACATATCATTTTTTTATATCTATGTTTATAAACACATTTCTTGAAAGGTCTTTTTGTTATTGGTCTGATCAAGATTTGAGAGATTGTTGGCAATTTGAATGGCATCGGATGAGAGAGGATCATGTCATTAATGACAAGTTTAGCATCTTATTAAATCATCTATAAGGTATGAGTATCTTGGATTTATATAGACTTATAAATATGTTAAAGTATACAAGCAAAATTATATTCATTGGATTATAAATCTTTATTCAATATAAAAGTAAAATTATGTGTTTTAAGTTGTGGAAGAAAATATTTTTTAAAATTTTTTATTCTTTGAAAATATTATTTGCTTTTTATTTCTCTATATTCATTTTGCTTTTAATTTTAGACAAAAAAAAAAGGGTAAGTAGCAAAAGTAATTACCAAAGATCTTTAAAGAAAATAAAATTGTCGGTGAAATTGATTAAGATTTTTATGTTTCTTTAGATAAAAAATTATTAGATTTTATTATTTATATGCTTATATGATTATAACACATTAATTTATACAAAATTTAATAAAAATATAATTTCATTATATATTTGATATTGAATCCGGTAATAACGCGCAAACATTCTCTTAATTTTATGTTGAAATTTGAAATTTTACAAATATAAAGCACAACTTTGATTCACTCCAAAAGTCTAGAGCTATACAATTTCAAATTTTAATAATTTAAAACCAAATTGATACAAATTTAAATCGATCAAATATCAAATTTAAATGATTCCAAATCAAAATTGTTCAAATTTTATTTGTTTGACATTAAGAGGAGGAAGTATAAAGAAAATAAATCAATTGATCTCCTAACAATCCATCACAAACATTTCAAAAACAAATAATAAACCAGCTTCAAATTGGCAAGACAGAAAGATAAAGAGCTAGCAAAAGTTCATTAAATCAACAAATACCAAAAACCATAACGTTGTCATGAATGATGTTATTTTATGATCGTACTACTTACCAATTACATGAGTGTAACAAATTACAACTTCATGAGTAATCAGACAAAAGTGTCAGATACTTTAGCTTTTTCCTGATACGGTCTAAATGTCAAAAGTTAAAAATGTCATAGAATGCATCAGAAAATGCACTAACCTAAGATTACAATTCCCATCTTACTTCCTATCGATCGTTGCCACAGTGGGCATTCCCCTAGTTTCTTGTTGAAACTTGGACTTTTACAAGTGCAAAGCACAACTTTGATTTCACCCGGAAAGACCAGAGCTGCACAATGTCGTCAATCTTTAGTCGGTTATTCTTGACAACAGAGTTCCACGTGCGGGTCATGACATAGCTTGAACTTTTCCCTCTATATTTCCACCTTTTAAAAGTCACAGCAGTTTCCTTCATTGATGGTTCTAACAAGCACACTTCCAAGGTGTTGTTTGCATCCTCCAAATCCTCAGCCTCTGTTTTATTGAGAAACTCATGAGTTTTGAGTTGTGAAAACGGCATGGAGAAGCGACTGGCTTGAGGGTTCACGTCAGAGTAAAAGACTTGCTTTTGTATCACCAAAGCCCAATCGGAGCCACCCATGTTTTCAACTATATGTTGTTTAAAGCTCTCGGGCAGGTCTGGCGAAGGGATTGCGCAAACAAGTTTCTCTTTCTTGCTTCTCTTCAATTTCTGTCCTCCCCATTCTTCATCAACATCTGCTTCTTTGAGTTTGAGTTTCCTTTTCAGACCAACATTCTTCCCCTGTTTGAAACCCATATTCTCTTCTTCGCACAGGGTTTGAAGTTGTGGTGCATTGTACAGGAAACACTTCAAGTACGAATCATGCCTTTTCTTTTCTTCTCCGTTGTGCAGTTTCTGTTGGCCAACTCTGGCAACCTCTAGCAAGTAATGGAAAGGAGTGCAGTTGGGATCAAATTTTGTGTGCTTGAAATCGTCAAGAGTGAGTAGTTCCATGCAGTAGAAACAGTAGAAAGACTTCAGAGATGGGTGGAAAGGAAAGAATTGTAACAGGGAATGATTGAGAAACCGAATAGAAGTAGAATTTGCTAAATTTAATGAGATCATCGGCCTGAGAGATACATATATACTGGTTAACCTGGTATTCTTCCAACTCAAGCAACCGAGAGGGAGAAAGATTTGATCGATAAATATAACCGTTGCATTATCTCAATGAAAGTGACCTCTGTTGACCGCCAACCCGAAAAAAGCGGTTAAGGCGCGCCCAAACTGCGAGACATAGGTTTACCTCATTCATCCAATGGTTCAAGCCCAACCCCTGTTTTAAACAAAACACCAATTTTCAAATATAATAAAAATAATAATAAACTTTGAACCCTAAAAATTTCTATCAAATTGGAAAAAACAAACAACTTGCCATATCTAATCGATAGCCAATCTTCCAATCGTGCAATTCGAGAAGAAGATCATAGAAATAGTGTGGCAGAATCCAGCGTTGGTCATAATAGGAGAGACCGGTTCGGGAAAAAGCACTCAGCTCTCTCATATGCTCCACCGATTCCGGAATCGTCGCCGTCACTCAGGCCCGCCGCGTCGCTGCCGTCTCCGTTTCCAGGTACCGTTAATCATGTTATGAGAAAACTTTTGGTTTCTGAAATTTTCCTGGTAATCATGTTTTGATCTTTTGAGGTCTTACTAAGTAATTGGTTTTGGCTGGTATGCATGTTTGGCAACCAGGGGTATGACATCTTAATATTCATGATTGGACAGGTGAGCTCTCTTTCTCTCTCTCTCTCTCTCTCATCTTGGGGTGCCATTAGATGCGGATTTATCTTGTATCTTCTACTTGGTTATAGCATTGATTCATTGATAATTTTACTGATTCTTTTAAAGTTGAGTGCCATTTATAGGATGATATAGAGAAGTTGGTATCAAAGCTGGAGAATAGAGTTCGAAGTCTAAATGAAGGCTCCTGCATGGATGCCGTAAACCTTCTCTCCATGGTTCCTTGCCACCTCAAATGCAGGTATGCTTTCCTTTTCAGCTTTTCTTTTCCTCCATCAGGAAAGTGATTTTTCGATTTTTATCAACAATATTGGCACAATCGATTCTCCTTTGCACCATTGGAAATGAAATTAATTTAAGCTACATTGTCTTGGAATGATATTAATGGTTTTGAATTTGCATAATTATGACCCAACAGTTGCGTGTATTCAGTCCTCCACCTCCAAACCGTAGGTGTTTTTTGTTGTCACAAACATGGCTGAAACTTATTTGACAGTTGATGGTGTTGTGTAAGCAAACTTGATACGTAAAATGTTGCTTGATATTGTTTGTCTTTGTATTTGTTTTTCTTTCTCCTTCTGAATAGAAGATAGTGTAGACAATGAATTGCATGGGTACTACTAATGTGTACAAAATATCCTTAATTTTGATCTTTATTAACCAACCTTTTTCCTACTTAATTTGCCAAGATTATGTGAATATTTCTGCTCTTAGCAAAGCAATTATTATAATGTCATGATTATGTATGTTTTGAAATAAAAATGAAGAATTAACAAAATGGCCAAATATAAACCAGAAGAAATGCAATCCTTGGTGCTATGTGCAATAATCTAGTAAAATTAGACATAAGTAGAGCAAGTTATTCTGAAAATATAGTGGGAGGACTTTGTATATATATGTAATGTTATAAGGCATGGATCACATTCAAAGGTATGAGTGTTTCTTAATTTTTTTAATGAGACATACATGTTATAGGTTTGGTTTTACTATCTTGTTCCTTTTTGTTTCTTAATTTTTATAGGTGTAAATTTTCTACCTAGGGAGGGCACTAAGATTTGGTCCTAAGGGTCCTGATAAATATTAAGACTTATATATGGTCCAATAATGACTATATTATTATGATATTGTTGTACCATTTACCTAATTCTACCACCTGCTTTTACACTTGGTCTTAGTTAATAAGATCAATTGCATTGATATGTTGATTGACTTCTCTCTAAACTAATATAAGTATTTATTGATTCTGTTTGTGTAAAGCAACGACAATACAACCCAGCAACTGGAATGTATTGCCTTGATTTTGTTAACATTAGCAAGTAAGTGGATGACTTAATGTTTCTTTCAGCTTTTGGAGCATATTCATGTGTTACTAGTAGCACGACTTACAGTTGTGATTTGTTTTTGGTATTTATTTGTTTGCAAGTTCAATTTTCTTCTCATTTTGTATCAACAAGTTATATATTCTTGTCTTTCTTTTGTCACTTGAGAGACCAATTGTCAGTATTCTTGCAAATAATTTCTTTTTTTCTTTCCTTCCTTTCTTTTTGACATCATTTTTTTTGTATGCCTGGAGGGTACAAGCTAATCAACGGGCAGGATGAGCTGGAAGAACATGTCCAGGGAAGTTCTATAGTTTATGCCCTTCCAGTGTTTCCAATGACAAGTTCCTTGATGTAACAGTTCCTGAAATACAGCAATCTTCTCTTTCTGGCAGTGTTCTTTATCTAAAGTCATTGGATCTCCCTAATATCGATCTTCTGAAGTTTGATTTTCTTGATCCCCCTTGTAAGAATGCATTCTTGTTGTGTTCATTTGTTGTTTGGGCAGAAAGAAAGAACAAGCATTTGAGTTGTCACTGTTAAAATTTTTCATTCGTTAAATATCTGACTTTTCCAGTTTCTGCCAATGTTTCCTTTTAGAATTGGGATATTGATTAATCTGATTAGTTTAACTGTACCCGAGTCATTAGAAGATGCTTTAAAGCAACTATATCTGATTGATGCTATTGATGAAATGGATCGATCACAAGTTTTGGGCAAACAATGGCAGGTAAGGATTCACATTGCTTATCAATTATTACCATGCTCACAAAGGTTTGTTGCCATTAGTTGATAAATGCATGCATAGTATGTTTCTTATATAAGAAACATAATAGTAAATGTGATGGATGAAGAGAAATAGATATTTTTATTTAACATTAAATGTGATGGAAGAATAATAATAAATGTGATGTGATGAAAAAGTAAAAAAGTTAAAAATGGTGAAGATAAATAAACGTGACGGATGGCTAATGTGATAAATAAAAGATGTACTTTGACATTTTTTTTTAATCCTTTCCATTTCTTTTACTCTTTCGTTTTCTTTTGCCATATTTTTAAATGAATCAATGAACACATCAGTTAGCAGTAAGGGAGCAAACATTGTTACAGAGATAAAAACACCAAAAAAGGCAATATCAAATAGCCCTGAAGCTCTTGATTCATCTTCTTCTTCTTTCAAATGATCAATCAAGACCAAGTCATTTTTTAACAAAGACACATAATTTTTTACTAACCCCATATCTTCTTTTGGTAATTAAATTCTCTTCCAATGACACAAAGGAAATCCATAGTGTTTTTTTTTTAAAGTATATACATAACTATTTACATTAATTTTTTATGTGTTTAAGGAAGTGATGATACGAAGAAGAAAAGGGTGATGATAACAAGGGTGGTTATGTATCCATTTGCATTGGTGAAACGCAGAGGGCTTGAAGGCTATATGACCCTAAACAATATTAACGAAACGATTCTAATGCCATCGACAAGACCGGTTAGGCACCCAGTGGGGGACTTTACTTGTAAGCTATGTGTATCTGTAGATGGTCTTGGCCTTTTTGGAAAAGCTATGGTAGCCCTTACTAAAATACACACTCAAGGAAGTAGCACGGTTATTATTATTAAACCCAAGAGCCTAACCTGTCGTCGCCCTTTTTTTTTTTTTTTATTTTTTATTGTTCGCTGTTGTTCAATGGTCGAAAACCAATTTATGAGCCAAAAAGGTTGTAGATTCATGTTGTACCATTAATGAAGTAGACTAATATTACATGGTAATTAAGACATTACTTAACAATCATGAGTTTTGCTTATTGCTTTTCTGTATTGGAAAAAAATAAAAAAATTTTGTGATTTGAAGTTTTCCTTCATAACCAGTTTGAATGAAAATCTTCAATTGCTTTTTGTAACTTAAATTTTAATCATTTCATGATGAAAAAAAAAAGTAAACCCTTATGATAAATTTGTTGAATTTGATTTTGGGAATATAGTGTGCATCGATTCTATTTGATTATAAATATTCTCGGTTGTGAGTATAGATTATTGTGAAATAATTTAAATCATATTTTTTCTTATGTTTAAGTTTATATTTTAAAGATATTTTTATTTTTGTTTTAAATTCTTTTATGTATGTTTTTGTTTCATGAATTCCAAGAATTGGTATTTTTTTTTTTTTTATTGTTGTTTTAACTTTGCAACTGTTTAATTGTCTTTATTTGAGATGTTTTTATGGTTTCTTTGGTGGCAAGAGACGAATACTAGACATTTGTATGGAATATTGGATGTGAGTCTCAATTTATTAATGTTGAGCTTCCATGGCTCTTCCGTTTTGAAGGTATTTCAAAAATTAATTATATTAATAATATTTATTTTAGTTTTTAAAAAATCAAGATAAAAGTGAGATACATATAAATATAAAAGCTTTTAATTATTTTCTTTAAAGCAAATTTGGATCATATAAAGAAAAACTATGTTTTCATACCTGCGATTAGGTTGAATTTGACCAAAAATTTTTGCCCCTTTCATTAGGATACCAAGATATTTTACTGTTTATACCATGTTCTTATATTCATTTCAAGTTGAAAATGCAAGCCGTAAAATTTTAAAAATAGAGAGCCATTTTGGTTGATTTTTGTCTGTTAATTTTTATGATTTAGAGGTGTTTGTCAAAATGTCTCTCGAAGGTTTTTAATATTATAGGATTCAATTTTCATAAGTTTTGTATCATGCATATATTTGATAATTGACGTAAATAAAAGATGTTAAATTTTTTTTTTGAGCTTAACACACATTTGTTTGAAATTTTATAATCTACGAATAAAATTGTAAGTCTCGATTATTTTAAAACTTAATCTAGATTAATATATTGTGGTTTTATACCGAATACATCTTCTCCTTTTCGAACATATCATTTTTCTATATCTATGTTTATAAAAACATTTTTTGAAAATTCCTTTTGTTATTGGTCTGATCAAGATTTGAGAGATTGTTGGCAATTTGAATGGCATCGGATGAGAGAGGATCATGTCATTAATGACAAGTTTAGCATCTTATTAGATCATCTACAAGGTATGAGTATCTTGAATTTATATAGACTTATAAATGTGTTAAAGTATACAAGCAAAACTATATTCATTGGATTATAAATCTTTATTCAATATAAAAGTAAAATTTTGTGTTTTAAGTTGTGGAAGAAAATATTTTTTAAAATTTTTTATTCTTTGAAAATATTATTTGCTTTTTATTTTTCTATACTCATTTTGCTTTTTATTTTAGACAAAAAAAAAAGAGTAAGTAGCAAAAGTAATTACCAAAGATCTTCAAAGAAAATAAAATTGTCGGTGAAATTGATTAAGATTTTTATGTTTCTCTAGATAAAAAATTACTAGATTTATTATTTATATGTTTGTATGATTATAACACATTAATTTATACAAAATTTAATAAAAATATACTTTCTTTATATATTTGATACTGAATCCGATAATAACGCGCAAATATTCTCTTAATTTTATGTTGAAACTTGAACTTTTACAAATATAAAGCACAACTTTGATTTCACCCGAAAAATCTAGAGCTACACAATTTCAAATTTTAATAATTTAAAACCAAATTGATACAAATTTAAATCGATCAAATATCAAATTTAAATGATTCCAAATCAAAATCGTTCAAATTTTATTTGTTTGACATTAATAGGAGGAAGTATAAACAAAATAAATCAATTGATCTCCTAACAATACATCATAAACATTTCAAAAGCAAATGATAAAGCAGCTTCAACTTGGCAAGACAGAAAGATAAAGAGCTAGCAAAAGTTCATTAAATCAACAAATACCAAAAACCATAACGTTGTCATGAATGATGTTATTTTATGATCGTACTACTTACCAATGACATGAGTGTAACAAATTACAACTTCATGAGTCATCAGACAAAAGTGTCAGATACTTAGCTTTTTCCTTTTACGGTCTAAATGTCAAAAGTTAAAAAAGTCATAGAATGCATCAGAAAATGCACTAACTTAAGATTACAATTCCCATCCTACTTCCTATCGTCGTTGCCACAGTGGGCATTCCCCTAGTTTCTTGTTCAAACTTGGACTTTTACAAGTGCAAAGCACAACTTTGATTTCACCCGGAAAGACCAGAGCTGCACAATGTCGTCAATCTTTAGTCGGCTATTCTTGACAACTGAGTTCCACGTGCGGGTAATGACATAGCTTGAACTTTTCCCTCTATATTTCCACCTTTTAAAAGTCACAGTAGTTTCCTTCATTGATGGTTCTAACAAGCACACTTCCAAGGCGTTGTTTACATCCTCCAAATCCTCAGCCTCTGTTTTATTGAGAAACTCATGAGTTTTGAGTTGTGAAAACGGCACGGAGAAGCGACTGGCTTGAGGGTTCACGTCAGAGTAAAAGACTTATCACCAAAACCCAATCGGAGCCACCCATGTTTTCAACTATATGTTGTTTAAAGCTCTC